ATTATTATTATTATTATTATTATTATTATTATTATTATTATTATTATTATTATTATTGTTATTATTATTACACCCTCTTGGTATTGAAAAGAAAAATAAAACTTGTAGCTGTAAACAAGGAAAAATATAAGAATATTTATATGCTCTTTTAGTTGAATTGAGACATCTTCTCAGACAAGGGAGACGTGGCGTGACCAAACGCAATCCAGTCCGGGATCATGTAGTCCAGCGGGCATTCCCTCAAAGAAAACAAAATGGCGATGAACGGGCTGGCGTTGGCCAGGTTATATTTGCGTCTCAGTTTCTTGTTTGTGTTCACAACGTGCTTTCACCGTATCATTTTATATTAGTTTCTGTGACTGGTAAGTGCATAACTGAAATATTTTCAGATGTTCATTTGCAGCGACCTCCTGCCCTTGATGGATGAGACAGTCGGCAAGACGTTAATCTATAAGCTTAATTCAATCTATAGTCTTTCGTCTTTGCACTTGCCTTTCAGATAACGTGCCTTTTATGCCATGTACTCCGAGTGGGTTTCTCTGCGAAACACGCTACAGCGTGACCGCAAGAATAGAAGCGTTTTGCACAACTTCCCTCCCTTAGTGGGAAGGGATGTTGCACATACGGTCGTCAAGACTCTTGTTCAACCTGGAAATCAAGAGCAAATGTCGCTTCGCACAGAGAGGGAGGTTGACTGGGTCATGGATGTGCTGTGTTATGGTTTGACACTTCAAATGACAGAAAGCGATGGCGAGATCGTGAAAGGTTGTGTCAGTATCTACCTAGACTGGATCTCGGTCTTGGCAAGTCCCAAGAAAGGGATTCCCGAACCGTTGTTAAAGGCGCCCGAGAAATACTCAAAAGAAATATTTCAACATTTTCGTAACCTTTTTGTGCGAAGGGATGAAGGGAATCTTGCATTGCAAGCTTCTTTGTGTATCAGAGTACTGCAGATGATTCAAGCTACAGCGTCTGAGGCTAAGATGTCACCCTTGACGTGGGAGGCGTTGCTGAAGTTTTTGATGATTATTAATGACATGCTTCTGTCACCGCCAAACACTTCAGGAGGTCTCGCAGAACACTTGTGTGAGAAATTGATCAGTGTTCTGCTCGAAGTGTGGTTGCATGCCAGCTGTCACCATTTTCCCGCCCCGTCAATGTGGAAGACTTTGCATGAGCTTTGTGTTTCATGGCGTCATCACAATGCAATGATTGACTATTGGAGTAGAACATCCCTAGCTCTCACAAGAAGGGTAATACAGTATATGTACGGCCCCAGCTTTCCTCTTCCTCCACTGCCAGCCAGAAAGAGTGACGTCCGACTGCCAGCCAACATTGGTGATGAATGCCTCATTCAGTGCTGGTTCAGAATTCTTCATATTGTTGGGAATCCTGTGGACCTCTGCAAGAAAGAGATTATCAGCAATACACCAAAATTTAAAGAGTTTGCATTGTCAAGTGAAGAGGTGATCACGCCATCAACTCATCCCTGTTTGAAGACACTTCCACAAAACTTTTCGCAAGCAATGAAAGGTGCAGCAGTTCTTGTTAATGCCTTCCTTGCCATTACAACAACTGTAGATGAACCAGTGAAACACATACCAATACCAGCACCAACGAAATCTGCAAGCCCTCCAGTAGCCAAGAAACGTGAGCAGAAGTCCTTGAGCATTGGCTTAGCTCTGGGTTTAACTGATGCTGCGGGACTAATATTTAGATCTCAAACCCTTCCATCTCGACCTAGCGGTGGTACCTCATCTACCGGGCTGCCACAGTTAGAACCATTCCGTGAAGAACTGTCCAGCATGCCCTCGAATTCATTTTTGTTCCCAAGATCTCCTTTGCCTGACACTCACAAACCATCAGGGGATAGTGTACTCCATTTGTTTGGAGGGTGGCTTTTTGAGGCTATATTTGCCAAGCTGGACATGACAGCAAACTTCGATGCTCTGGGAAAGATCTATGATGGCTTTGTTACAAATTCTGCCACAGTTGAAAGCAGCACAGGAGCAACCAAGGCAGGGTTAGTGGATCATTGTATACTGTAGTCCATCTTTGAGTGCAGTACCTAACCTAAGTTTCCATAGCACAAAGTAACAGGGAGAAACCAGTTTTCCTTGGTTCCTTACCAATCACTTTTATCAAACCCTATTACCAAATGATACCAAAACAAAATAACTACATACATGTACATGTAAGACATTTGGGCATTCTGAGGTAGTTTAGTGGCTGTTTGTTTTGTAAAAGCAAGAAAAAATTTCATATACCTCTTACATTTTTGCTTTCAATTTGTAGTGTAGAGATGGTTGGCCGCGCCATGGACAGCAGATTTGAGCCAGGCAGGGCTGAAGCTTATGGCGCACTATGTCGAATCTTTTGTAGTCATCGCTCTGGTCAAGAGATCCGACCTGTTTACCTTTCAAGGTTTTATTTAGCTTTGGCAATTGGACTGTTGTATTCAGAGGTAAGAAATGCTGCTATTTTTGTTCTGATATGTTTTGATGTGATTTAATGATTTCTTGAAAATGTCCTCTTTCAAAACCCCTAAAATACTTGCCAGAGGTTGACTTCCCAGAGACTAACAGTCAAAGAGAAACAAAAAAAATTGCAGTGCAATTGGTAACTGTACAGTGCTTATCTCTTAAAATTATTTTGTGGGGGAACTGGTGGGTGTGGGGTGTGGTAAGCAGAGGGGTTTATGTGCTAGGGGATGCCGGCTACTTTGATTATAGTTCCATAGGCCTGACTGGTTTATTGATTGTTGCTTTGATTCAGTCCTGCACTGGTCATGTGCTCTGCAGCATATTGCTCAACTCAGCTGACCTGTTGAGAGTGGATCTACAAGGGGTGCAAGTGTTGTTACCGCACCTCATCACTGCTCTAGAGACTGTGCTGCCAAGAAATGATATCCAGATAAGGTAGGAATACAACGATTTTGGAAAAAAGGTGGAAGTTGTGTGACAGTGAAGCCTATTGATCCATGTGATTAAAAGTTATAAATAATTTGGTATAAATACAATGTCTTGTTAACACTCTAACTCATTGTTTACTCTTTTGTACACCCAGGTGTAATGTGTCCACCACTGAGCTTCGCAGGGCAGCCATCCATTTGCTGTTATCTATGCTGTGCTTGCCGCTGCACTTTCAGGATCTTGCTATAAAAGGTTATACCTCTCACATATTTGTTTGGAAATTTCTCAAACTGTCTCTGTTGCCTAGCAAAACCTGTTACATAAAATGTGGAATTGTGTTTACTTATGTGTAGATACAGTAAAATTAATGCATCTGTTGTGTTACAGTATATAGCAACTGTTGCAAGTTGACAGAAACATTGAACGGGCTGAATGAGATATTTCTCCTGAAAAAGGGAAATTTGAAGGCATTTCAGACTGAATAGCTGGGTAGTGACCCGGGGGGGCACTGCCATATAAGGGCTATATAGGTATGTGCCGCTGTGAAGGGTATGGTTTTCAAGCAGTTTACTCTAGGATAGGGTATATAAATCAGAGCGTTTGGCTNGTGCCGCTGTGAAGGGTATGGTTTTCAATCAGTTTACTCTAGGATAGGGTATATAAATCAGAGCGTTTGGCTCTAGAATAGGCTATAATTTTTCACAAAACTGACTAGTTGGTTGAAGATTTTATCTAGACTAAGGAAACCAGGAATTGCCACTCAAAAATTAAAAAAAAATCAAATCAGCAGGTTTAAATTTATGCAAATCAGCCTCAACAGTGTCGATAGATGGGGAGGATTTGGGGAGTCTACTCTAGTATAGGGTAGCAAAATTCAGCTGAACAAGCTCTGGTATAGGCTAAGGGTTCAAGGGTCCCAGCGGCACATCCCCACCCAGAAATTCCCAAAGTACCTCCCCCGGGGTTAGTGAGAGTTGTTGTCCAGTCATACATGTACCTAACCAGCATTGTTAACTTTGCAACTTTTGATGCATCATTTTAAGCACATTTTTAACCACTAGGGCTTTGGAAATGTCTGTCACCAACAACATTTCTCTTCAGAACTTCCCACACCCAGAGATACTGTAATTTGCACTAGATGAACAACTGATACTCCTGGGTTCAAACCATGTCTGCATTGTGATTTCAGACATGACTGCAGGATGGAGAAAGAAGCATGCCAATGAACAGAGCAATGATGAACGACAGTCTCTGACATTCATCTCCTTGAAGCCTCGACTCACACGACTGCTGCTTGAAGCTCTTCAGTGTGAATCAGACTCATTCAATGTTCAGATATTGTTGGGAGGTTTGTAATTAAGTATTGGCCCTTCTTATCTAGGAGTGACTGACTTCCTTGACTCAAACTCTTTCACCGGGTGGGGGGCATAGGTCCTTAAGGAAGTCTCGCCATCCCTCTCTGTCTTGTGAATGTCTCTCCAACTGTTGTCAGTTGAAGCCTGCCTCTCTCATCTCCCCCTCCATTGACCTTCACCAGCTGTTCCTTGGCCTCCCTCTCTTCCGCCTCCCCTGTGGGTTCCATCTCAAGGCCACAATAGTATTATAGAGTATTCATATTGCATTTTTTTTAACTGGGTCTTGCCCTCTTGTAGGTGTGTCCCTGCTAATTCAAGACAGTGAGATTGCTGAGACCCTTGGGGTCTCTTCCCCTAAGCAAACTGATCCCCCAGTGAGGGTGAGTGATCGGATGCAGCCTTCACAGGACAACAGGCGTCGTGCCAGCACTGGTAGCAGCTCAGTGTCTGATGCAGGCAGTACTAATGAAGTGGACAGTGACAGCAGAATTCTATATGATCACTCTTTTAACAAGTCGTATGGTATGTACATGAGCAGTTGTATCTTAAGTTTACAATTTTATGGCTAGGAGTAAATTGCCTCCTCATCCCACTTAGCACTCATTACTCTTTCCACACTCAAGGGTGCAAATATTGCAGCCAAATGATCTAAATGTAGAATCATCATGTAAATGTTGAAAATGAAACACTACCATGAGAAAGTAAAGCTCACATGGTACACACAAAGGCTTCTGTTGTGACATTCATTACCACCTGAAAGAACTGCTCAATAGCACTCATTTCAAAGTCCAGACACAAACTAGGGTTTCATTCACAGACCGTAAAGTTAGAACCACCCTGTACAGCATTGTAAACAGTACCACATGAAAGTAAAGCCCAATAGCTTTCATTTGAATGGTCACACTCTAGGGTTTCATTCAAAGACTCGAGAGTTAGCACCCTCTGGCATAGCAAAATAAACTGTACCACTTGAAAGAAATGCTCAACAAATTTCATTTACAAACATTATGGGTGCTTTCTCACACAGGGTTCGTACGGGTCATGGAAAACCTGGAAAGTCATGGAATTTATTATTTCAATTTCCAGGCCTGGAAAGTCATGGAATTCAAGTGAAGGTCATGGAAAGTTATGGAAAAGCAATATGCTTTCGGAAAAGTCAAAAAGATAACAAAAAAATTGAAAAAATAACAGACGAGTCAGAAACAGGCTTTAATTTCAGTAGAAATAGACCCAAGCACACATTTTATCCATTATAATGCTGAAAAATACATTAAATAAATGATTGTTTTGGTACTGCTGTGAGAACAACTGCTTAACTTTTGTCATGGAAAACTTGGATAGGTCATGAAAAGGTCATGGAAAGTCATGGAATTTTAAAAGCTTCAAAGAGTATGAACCCTGTCATATTTAGCAAGCCATTACCACCCATTTCACAGGTGTGATTCCAAACTCCCAGTAAATGTCTCTATGCAGTACCTTGTTCAACGATTATGGGCTAAGTACTGAAAAAGTTAGTTGTCTTGCACATTTTGTTTTAAGTGTGTTTGTGAATTGTTTTGTTTTCCAGACCTCTCAACAGTGCAGGGTCTGTTTGTACAGTTGACGCATCTCTTGTGTAACAAGCTGGTTGTGATCAGAAGCAGTCGCTGGAAATCTGATGTTCATATCACCCTAGCTGCCTTTGAGCTGCTGTCTGGCCTGGCACAACTGAGCATGAACCATTTGGGTTTGTTAATTGTTCTGTGTTTTAGACTCTCCAAAAGGTTTTAAAAACCAACCAACCAACAAACAAACGATTGACATGATTTAAATAGGGTTAAAAAAGTGACCATATTTTAGTTGTGATTTTCACAGTTTAAAAATTGTGGGCTGGTTTTGAAACCTGCTAAAGTTAAGTTTTATTTAGTCATAAGAACCTCAGTTTATTAGTAGACTTCACTCTGGCTGTAGATGAATACGAATAAGGCCCAAAAGGAGTCAAAAATGTTCTGCTCCTTTTATTCATCAAAAAGTGAAAATTTTCGTTGTTTGTTTTCCTTATAGTTTGTTGTAATAATGATTAACTGGTAACAGGACTTCATGTGGTCTTTTTCTGTAATCATATTTTTGCATAAAGGAGCACAGTCGGTATTTTGAAGAAAACCTTAAAATAGTAGTTTACTATACGATAGAAAAACACCCAAGAACTAATAACAAAATATAAAGAAACAAGGATGGTTAAGGATGGAGAAGATTGACACGGATTACAAACGACGAACTTGAAAATTTAGGCTTGACTTTTCAAGATGCAAAAACGGTGACGTAGCTTCTTTAACAAATCATACACCCGAATCATCATTGTGCAATTTTGTGACTCACTCAACATAAGACTTCCGCCTTCATCCATCCTGTTACCATTATAAGTAATCCAAACCTGCATTTCCTTTAAGTAACCGGCCAACAGTGTGAGGTATTTTCAGTTTATTATTTCTCTTCTGTGCTTCTCTCAGATCAAGCTGAATGTAAGAGCACAATTCATTGGCTGTGTGACTATGTCACATATCAAGCCAATAAGAAGGCAACGCATCACTCACGTGACCTTCACTCCATGATCGTGGCAGCATTTAGCTGTCT